AGATACTCAGTATTAATTTTTCACTACTAGACAAAACACTGGAAAACAAACTTGTACACATTTGTTAACACCTTTGTTTGTTCCTTCATAACAAGTTCCTAGAAATAGGGATACTGTGGTATAATCTCTTGAAGGCTTTAAAAACATTCGTAGTTGGTATCCTTATTTGAACATGGAATGTAAGTGTAAAGGTCTAAGGACCAGTCTTTAAAGCACTGGCCTTTGTCAGACAACTAATGTTTTAAACGAACTAAGCAGAGTTAACCTTACTTCCTATAAATGCTGTTTTAAGTTTGTGTTTGAAATCTGAATGATCTAAAAGATACTTCATTGTCTCTGAAAAAAGTACTCTGTGCTCTTTCTGTAATTTAGGTTTGGGTTGGTATAATATAGCTAGCATTAGCATTTTATTGTAATACAGATTGGAAGCATTTTTATTGCCGTATAATTAAACTTACAGTTTGGTGCTAGAGTGAGGTCATCTCTGAACTAATACATTTTGCTATTGGACTCCATGGTGACTATATGTATTTGGTAGACTTAAGATAAAGTATGTAAAGAAGTAAAAAGGTAGATATCTTTTAAAGTATATTTTATTTCTTAGAGCAATTTTAAGTTTAAGCAAAACTGAGTAGAAAAATACAGTTTCTAAATGCTCCCTCCTCATTACCAACATCCTGTGTTAGAGTAGTTCATTTATATTACATTAACCTTCTTTGATGTATTATTATCCAAAATGGATATGCCACACTAGAACCCACTCTTAGAGCTGTATATTGTTTTTTTAATGTTAATTAATTTGTAAATATGTAATGAGTGTATTCACAATTCTATCATTTCACTGCCCTAAAACATTCCTCTGCTCTGCCTGTTCCTTTCCTTGCTCTTGCTCTGAATCTCTGGCAACTATGGTTTTTTTTTAATTTAAATAAGACAGGTGGTGTGTGTGTGTGTGTGTGTGTGTGTGTGTGTGTGTGTGTGTGTGTGTGTGTGTGTACACATATACGTGCACACTTGTGCCAGGAATCAGTCGCAGGTGTCATCGACCTTACTTTTTGAGAGGATTCTCACTGGCCTGGGGCTTGCCCATTCAGCATGGTTGGCTGTTAGTAGACCTCAGGGACCTGCCAGCTCCACCTCCTCAGAGCTGTGGTTGCCATAAGCAACCACTCTCTACTCCCTGCTTTTTAGCAGAGGTTCTGGAGTAAAACTCAGGTTCTCATGCTTTAGTGACTGAAATGTCCTCTCTGGCCGGGACAGGTCTCTTTGTAGGTCTTGTGGTGAATAGACTAGTAGGTGCATTTAGTGTTCCGCTGTGGAGAGAGATTAAGAAACAGGTGGCCATTTGTAGACATTTTTTAGCTTTGACTTTGCAAGTCCCACTTAGGAGCTGAAGAAGAGAACTGACTCAGGACTGAGCAATCATGGAGAATACTGGTGGACTGAAATATCCCCTACTCTCAGCATTTTGGCATAGAAGAACGATAATATCTGTTTTATACACAGGATTTAATTTCCATTTTAAAATCTTAGAGTAATACTGAATTGAAAAAGGGATGATGATGATGATGCAATTTACCCGCTACTCAGTATGATTTGTTTCTCCCTTAAAGTTGGACTAAATGCACACAAAGTATTTCCAGCAAATACTAATAAAAACAAATGAATAAAAGAAAGTTTATAAATTTTACTAAAATACTTGTACAGGTTAACAATAGAAAGCTTTTTGCTGGTAGAACTATAATAATTTTTATTGTAATTTTGGAGTAAGTGTGCTTTCCTCCAGGCTGGTTTTCATTTATTTATGAAATACGTAAGGGTACGTATAAGATGCCTAGTAATAGTAATGTATTTAAGTTTTACTAAGTATAAAATTTATTAAATATTAAACACCGGGCATTTAGAAAACAGTGAGGGTGTGTGTGTGTGTGTGTGTGTGTGTGTGTGTGTGTGTGTGTGTGCGCGAGAGAGAGAGAGAGAGAGAGAGAGAGAGAGAGAGAGAGAGAGAGAGAGAGAGAGAAGAGAAGAGAGAGAACGAGAACCTGAGCTCACACAATTACCTTTGCTTGCATGTGGAGGTCTGAAGAACTTGAGGGAAGTTGGCTTGCACTTGCGTCTGTGGGGTCCTGGGATTGAACTCAGGTTGTCAGGCTTGTGCATCAAGTGCTTTTACTCACTGAGCTACCTCGCTGGCCTCGCATCTGGTGTTAAATACTCTGTAGGTGTTGGAGACAGCTAGTCAACAGGGTGATTGGTGATGCACACACTCCCTGGAGGGAGCTACACATGAAAATGTTATTTTAGCTGCTGAAAAGAACTATGTGGGGAAAGCCTATTTCAAAGGGACTAGGAAGGAGTCTGTAATTTGGAATGAGTGAGGGGTCCAGAAAGACCACACTAAGGAGGTAGCTGTTGAACTGACGCTTAGGAGGAGATGTGAGGCTGTGTACCTTTCTAAGGCCAGAACATTCTGTACAGAGGGAACTTCTGTACAGGAAAAGATTCTAAGGTGGGAAACAGGTCTGTTTGCTGAAGGGACACCAGGAAGGCCAGATGGCCTGGGCCTTTGGGGATGGACAGGATTGTTACAGGATGGATGAGAGGGGAGGCAGAGGCTTGATCTCAGGACTCTTGACGGCCATGGCAAGGAAACTAAGAATTTTCTTTTTTATCGTTTTATGTATTCTTTGATTAAAGTGCAGTGAGAGTTTTATCAGTATTTAAGCTGTTTAGGAGGGGATACTTACATAAATATTCAAATGATAAATTAAAATTTACAGAGTATAGGAACATTAAACTTGATAAGGGGTCTTAGGTGATTTTTTCTTCTTGGAAAATGACCTTTAAGCTGAAACTTAGGGACTCTGAATTGATTAGGGGTTAACATGGGGGAAGTGTCTGATAGACACTCCTGCAGAAGAGTATCATGAGTCTAGGAAGACCTTACCAATGTGAAGACTGAAGGAAGACTGGCTTGGTTTACAGAGGGCGAGTTCCCCAAATGACAGGCAGAGAGATGGGCTGTGAGGACAGTTGTAGGACAGATTTCAGTGGGAGTACTGAGCTGATTAGAGATGTATTTAGTTGTCTCGTGGAGCTTGGGTAGTTTTGGGGAGGGGAGCAAGTGTGTTAATGAGCACCAATATGATATAAAGGAGATAAAAGGTAGTGAGAGGAACAGGTATGATTAAAGGCAAAGGCAAAGGCCATATGTTAAGGGTGGCCCCAGATTTGTGTCTTAGTTACAAGTATGTGGTGATGTTAGTCTATAGATAGCCACTGGTCCAGTGAAAGTCCCAGTAGTGTTTGGCATTTCAAAGTAAAAGTTCCTGTGGGAATATTTTAAACTACTTTGACCTTAGTAGCAACACCCATAGTCTTACTGTGTACCACACTACTTAAACTCATTTAATACTGATGACAGACAACCTTATGAGGTCGACATGTGATTGCCATTTACAGATGAGGATAGGCACAGGGAAGCTCTCACTTTGATACGGGAATTTCCCTTTCTCCTGCTGGTGTTAACCTCTGATTAAGCTTGGAAACTTAATCACACACTTTGCATACTGTTTCATCACTTATCTCGTCTTTCCTATTGATTTGTTAACATGGGATTTTTAAATGTCTGTATCTGTCCTACAATGCTAACTTTTGTGAATTCAAATATCCTAATGAGCCGCAGCCAAATGTTATTGAAAAAGGAAATGATAATGTCCTCTTTAATTAAATGTTGATTACTATTACTTCCAAAAATTCTTTGGACTCGCTTGTACTCTGTAGTGCATTATCACCACTCAAAGCACATTTTGAAATAATGTTGATTTGGCTGTACAGTGTTAAAAGTGCTTTTTGATATGGCTGGCTGGGAGGCAAATCAGATAAGCTGAATGTTTCCTCCTGTAAAAAGTCCTTAATGTAGATAGAAGTGCCGATCTGTGGATGGTGTTTATGTGGACAATGTGTTGTTTCCTTGTGACTAATAATGTTCTTCTAAGTGGACGGGCCCTTCTCTCGAGAAGAAAGAACACAGTAGATATCAGAGGTCTCCTTAGAGTGGAAATTGACACTTAGTGGACAGGCTCAAGGGAGTGTGACTTACAATTTTTGATGTAATAAGGTCTCCACTGTTAACCTAATTGCTACATGGGATCAAGAGGTTAGTAGAGAAACTGAGCAAGGTACATATCAAAAGTTACTAAGATACTTTCAGTTTTTTAAAGAACAGAAAACTAAACTTTGAGCAGTTGTCTTCCATTTACATTTTCTGTAGTTAATTTTTCCATCCTTATTCAATAAAGCTCTTTGTGCAAAAGTTACCTTATCATGGTTTGTGGTAGTGACCAAAGGAATGGGCTGGTTGTTTATAGACGTTGTGGCTGTGGTGTTTGAGAAAAAGCCCCAGTGGACAATGGCACCTGCCTGACCTCCCAGTGACTATCTTTCTCCACTAAAGCAGTCCTGTGTACTTTTTTTTGGCAAGGGAGCTTATGTGAGTCTTACTTGGAAAATTTGGGACTTGTTAGCTTTATTGGGTCGTGTTTGGACACTCCCTAGAGCCCTGACTTGACTTTTCCAATTCCAGAATGAAAATCCACAGGCTCTCTGCTTTATCTTTGTGCTGTGGAGTCGTTTTCGGTGATGACTACGGGGAGAGCTGGACTGTGAAGGGTCTGCCTAGCTGCAGCGTTCCTAAAGTATGAAAGCGTTTGCAGAGTCCCGCAGTGCTGGGGAGCAGCTGTTGCTCACAGTTAGCGGGTCGGTGGCTTTAACTGAGCTAGAGGATCTAGCCTAGGGCCTTCTCCATCTCTCTCTGTATAAAATGGGAAATCTGACTGATAGTGTTTGCCCTGTTCTAGAAGGATTGAAAAATCCTTTTTTATAACTATTCTCAAATGTTCTTCAGAGAGAGTATTTCCAAGTTTGCTTTAGGTGAGGTCCTTAAGGAAAAGTTGGTAATGTAGGGGTTAAAGTAACCTGTCTCTCTTTTTAAATTCTAGGTGAGGATTTTGAAGATGATGACCTAGGAAATTCAGATGAGGTTATGAAGAAACCATGCCCCGTGCAGATTGTTCTTGCTCATGAAGATGACCATAACTTTGAGCTTGATGAAGAGGCCTTGGAGCAGATCCTGCTACAGGAGCACATACGGGATCTTAACATAGTCGTGGTGTCTGTGGCAGGAGCTTTTCGGAAAGGGAAATCATTTCTCCTGGACTTTATGCTTAGATATATGTATAACAAGGTGAATAGCGTCTTTTAAATTGACCCCAACTAGTACAGAAAATTGCCAACCAACTTAAAAAAAAAAAGACAGAAGCCAAAATTATATTTTTAATTTCTAGCTATGTCCCAAGTATCTGAGTATACCTGAAAGACCACTGAGGTATTGTCTGCTTTTGCTATTTCTTTACACATTTTCCTTTTTGTCCACGTACAGTGGATGAAGTACAGAGAGAGAGAGAGAGACCTTTGTAAATACATCTGCATTCATTCCTCACATAGTTACTTGTAGTGATAGATCCAGTTCTTCAGAGTGCCTTCCACGTTGTCTGAGCCTCATCTCTTCCTGTAAGCCAATAAACTAGAATACTGGAGCTTTTTGTGTTTTGTTTTGAAGAGTATGCTATGCTGTTTCTTGAATGTTGCCATATTTGTGGCTGATCTTTTCATCAGAGGCCTTCCTATACTTCTGAGGCCATGATGTACCCTTCCCTACTTTCATGGTTCTGCTCTTTTTAATAATGCTTTTGAGTTGTTTGGGGTTTTTAGCTAGTTTACTCTCTCTTAGGAAAGGCCTTTTTTTTTTTTTTTCCCTACTAATAATGTTTTGAGTAGGCATGTTTTGATAGGTGCATTTCCCTCCTCTACACATTCTCACTTTTAGATGGTGTGAGAGTTTTTATTTTTTCCTTCCCTGCCTTTGACTTAAACCCTGAAGAAAAGTGGAGGGGAATGAGTCACTTTAATCAGAATGCGTTTCTAATGGCTAGAATTTGACAGGAAGCAAGAAGAAGGTATTGGGAAATTTTGGAGTAGGACACTAAGGTGGAATTGCTTTATGGGATCTTTGACATTCAGAAGCTACATGAGGACACTGGAAATGACTCTTAGCTGAGTTATGTAACTATCCAAACAGTTGTCTGGCTGCTTACCTTCGTAGTCATCTGTCTCGATAAGAAGGAAGGTAAACATTCTCCTTGGTTTTTCCGGGAAGCATTGCAGTAAAGTCTTTTCATAGGAATCTCTCTAGGCATCCTTAAATGTCCCTTAGTATCAAGAATGTAGTTCACATTAGTGAACAGTATTTTATGTGTTTAGCCAACTAAGAAAGCTGATATTTTAAAGTTTTCCACTTAAGGCTTATTTCTGAAATACTGAAATACATGAATAATGCCATAGTACTTTAAAAAAAAAATCTGTTCATTTCCAGACGATAAAGATCTTCTGTATTTTGAGGTTCCCCCATTCCTTAAATGAACTTTTTTTTTCATTTATAGTATACCTCTATGAGCTGTATACTTCAAGTACCTTTGATTCTAAATAGGCCAGAGATAGTAAGTGGAGTGTTGGAAGGGGAAGGGCACTTAGATTACTTGTCTAGAAATAATACAAAGTTTCACCTCAGGCAACATTGCTGCTTCTCTGGGTAATCAGTGACTGTCCAGAGTGAGAGATAACTCTTACTTTTTATGTGTTCAAAATCACAGGACTAACGGAGGTTCTGTAGTCACAGAATGGCCTGAGTAAGGTTACATACATACCTACTCAGTGGCTTCTAAGTTGAAATAGCTTTCTTAACTGCCAGTTGGAAAGTTTCATATATCATAGAATGCCTGATAGAATCACTTTATTTTTTTAATCAGAAATTGCATTCGACAGTATCTGATTTTTTATTTTGTTGATAACATACTGATTTTAGTGATGGGTCATGCTTTTCCTATGAAATGTAGGTAAAGAAGACGTGACAGTCACTTTAATGAGCAGTGAGTTATAGAAGAGGAAATTAAATCATGCAACCAGAGACAGATTGGTGGTGGTAATGTAAAATGGTTGATGTTTTTCCCCCTTGAAAGTATATATATACTCTTGTGTTTTGTAGAATTTTAATTTCTGTTTCTACTGATAGCTCAGATAAATACATTTTTCCTTAAAAGTTAAGTTTGGTTTACAAACTGAAAGATACGTAAATCTACAGTGTACAGCTGGATGAAACTTTATGCATGTTTGTACACACACCTTCATGACCACCATCCCAAAGTACCTAGTGTTCTGAACCTTTTCCCATCTGTTCCTTTCTGGTTTTTAACGCCAATGAATGAAATCATCCTGTAGATAACTATTGCCTTATTCTAGTAACTTTGTAACTGTCAGATGCACTAATACTTTTGCGTGCATCAATATAACTCATTCTTGGTGTTTCACAACATGATTAAAATGTATTTTACTTGCTTATTAATCTGTTGATGGATATTTGATTTGCTTTGACCTAATAATTTTTAGTCTGCTCCTTGTATGAATCATCTTTGAAAATGAAGTAGGTTATCATAGTGTTAGTTTCTCTTTTCTCTTCCCCAAATACACACGAAGGAGATTAGATGCTGCTGTTAAGTGCCCTCTGGGCTATTTTCTTCCCTTCCTTCTGAGATTTTGATTTTGGAACTGGAATTAATTTTCCAACCTTCCAAATGTTTTTATATAGAGGGCCTAAATTACTGTGAGTGATTTCAGCTAGCATGTTTTTTGTTCCGTGTTGCTGAAGCTACAGAAGTTAGGAATGGATGAGATAGAGGAGTTTACAGAACATTGTTCAATGTCCTTAGTATAGTGTTTAAGTGGGGCTCTTTTGATTGGAAATGATGAATTGCTGGAAAATATTCTTTCACTGTAGCATTTGAAATACTTTTTCACCTTTAAGCTTCAGAATGTACGTACTGCCTTTTTGGGTAATATAAAGAAATTATAATACCTGTGTCATGTAGTGTTTTAATTCTGGATGTCTGAAAGCCAGGCGTGAAATTTCAGAGATTTAGGGTTTTAGTGTGAAGTTTTTGTTAATCTAGCTAGAAGCCGTCCTCTGTGTAACGCTCTCTAGCTGTGGGGCCAAGTGCTTTAATTTTCTCGACTCTCTTCCATTGTCTTGGGTTTCCCTAAAACTCTACTTTTTGTGTGTAGAGTGTGTTTTCTTTTTACCATTTCCTCTGTGGTTCTGAAGGTTTATAATTTCACACAATCCCGGTTGTCTGCCCCTGGTATTCTTTCCCATCCTTAGAAGTTTTAGGATGATCGTATTGAATTTCGCTGTCTTATGCTAATCTCTGAGCGAGATCCTCCTGTCTCCAGGGTCATCTTCACTCTCTTTCTTCAGGGTTTAAAAGTTTTCATTGCAGAGCTGTTTTACTTCTTTGGTTAGATTTATTCTTAAGTATTTTATTTTTTCGAAGCTGTTGTCTTCCTGATAGCTTCTCAGCATATTTGTCATTGTGTGAGAAACTGCTTATGTTGATTTTGCATCAGGCCACTTTGCTGAAGGTATTCTGTTGTTCGAATCTTAGATGGTCTTTAATAAAAACCCCAGGGCCAGATATTGGGGTGAAAGCTGAAAGATCAGAGAAACAGAACAGCCAGCCACTAGTTCTGACCTCTACGAAATCCTCAGTCTAAAGAGAGTGAGTTCCTGTGTCCTAAGCCTTATATACCTTTCTCTGCCCTGCCGTATTACTTTCTGGATTAAAGACGTGTGTGCTTCCCAAGCAAAGGCCTGAGATCTCAAGTGCTGGGATTAAGGGTGTGTGCCACCACTGCCTGACCTCTATGTCTAATCTAGTGGCTGGCTCTGTCCTCTGATCCTCAGGCAGGTTTATTAGGGTACACAATATATCCCCACAGCATTCATCAGTGCTGAGAGTTTTCTGGTAGTCTTCAGGGTCTTTCCTGTATAAGAGCATATTGTCTACAAATGGGATGACTTGACTTGTTCCTTTTCGTCTGTGCCCCTTTGTCTTACTGATTTAGTTCACTGGGCAGGGCTGGATTGAATGAGAATGGAGGTAGGGGACATACTTATCTAGTTTTGATTTTAGAAGAAATGCTCTGAGTTTTTCCTAATTTATTTAGTGTAATATTGGCTACAGGTTTGTTTTATGTTGGCTTTACTGTACTGGAGTTTTTCTATTTTAGGTTCTTTGAGACTCTTATCATGAAGGGGGGATGTAGGCTTTTGTTCAAGGCCTTTTTTGTACCTTTTGAAATGTTGAGGATGGTGACTGGCTATGATCTTCATTAATTTTTTTTTCATTTTTCTTGTTTTTAACTTTTTGAGATATGATCTTGCTATATACCCCAGACTAGCCTTGAATGTTCATTGATTCTTCTACTCCAGTCTCCCAAGTGCTGGGATTACAATGGGGGGTCCTTCACTTCTTATTTCCACCTCCACTGCTTACCCTAGACAGGAGGGTAGAGGGGGCTGAAGTTGCCTAATGTGCCTTCCCAGTTCCACATACACATACATCTCTGGTAGGTTAGTTTGCCCAGAAGGGCAGGTCTCTGTCACAAGGACTGTTCTGGATGTATGTAATTGAAAACAATTTGTGAATTTAAAAATGTCTGTTTTCTTCCAACTGTACCTTGAGAACTTGGGAGTTCTGTGAGCAAAGCCTACAAGTATGAGGTCTACCTCTAGGCTTCTTTTTTTTTGGAGCTGAGGACCGAACCCAGGGCCTTGCGCTTGCTAGGCAAGTGCTCTACCACTGAGCTAAATCCCCAACCCCACCTCTAGGCTTCTTAAGTCAGTCTAGTTCTGCTCCTGCTGGGAACCCGAAACCAGATATTGGGGTGAAAAATCGAGAGATCAGGGAAATAGGACAAGCCACAGACAACTTCATTTCACCAACATCTCAGTTTCCAAAGAGACCTACTTCCTGTATACCCACACCTATATGCCTTCTGTTCTGCCATCTCTCTCTCCGCCCAGCTACATCACTTCCTGTCTGTCTGTACAGACCTCCAGACCTTTATGGTTAGTGTTGGGATTAAAGGCATGTACCACCACACCTGGCTTTGTTCCCAGTGTGGCCTTGAACTCACAGAGATCCAGAGTGCCTTCCAAGTGATAGAATTAAAGACATGTGCTACCATTGCCTGACCTCTATGTTTACCATAGTGACTGGCTTTTTCCTCTGATCCTCAGATAAACTTTATTGGGGTGCACAAAGAAAATATCACCACAAGCAGCCCTTGGGA